GCAGGGACAGCAGAGACTGAAGTGGCACTGGAGCTGAGGAAGGAAATACAGGCCTGCTGAGATTTCAAACCAAAGGAGTTTGTGGCCCAGGGCTTCCCCCTCTAGGCTGCCTTCTCACCAGAAAGGGAGGAACTGTGTCTTCCAGTAAAGGCTGGTGTCTCATTCTTGGCATTAGTGTGGCACTGATGCCACTGTGTGTGATAACCTAGTGTCAGCTTTGAACATGGCCTTAGCACCTGAGTTCAAGAGCAAGCACTGCCCCTGACCAACTTTGGTTCCCTGGGGAATTCTCCTCCTGGTTTTTGGTTCTAGTATCCTGTAAGGTACATGGATGTTCTTTGGTCAAGGAATAGGCGGAGGGAGGTATCCAGGCCTACATGACTCAGTGAGTCCGGTGTGCAAGTGCATACCTCCACTTGTTATAAAACCTGTTTAAGTTCATACTTGGCTCTAAGCCACAATTGTCCGTAAAAGGTATCACTGCCCTGTTGCTGCTGTGCATGGGGGACATGGCTCTGGGGCTGTTGGGGCTCGGCTCAGCTCAACATGGCTTGACATGGCGGATGCACAGGCATCCAGAGAAAGAGAGACAATAAGAGCTGTCCATCTTTGCAGATGGACAGAGGGTAGCCAGGACACAGCTTGGCCTGCTCGTGCCCAGGGAGAGGAAGAATTAAGCTGCTGACCCTGAAGGCAAGGGGGAGCTGGCCACGCAGCTGTGCATGGGGGTCGCTGGACTAAGCCGCTGAGACTGGGCAGACAGTGTGAGAGAAAGCTGCTAATGAGAAAGCTAGTTTGAGAAAGCTGTGCAAGAGAGCTGCTGCTGAAAAAAGCCATGTCTCATTTACCTGCTATCTCTCGAGTGTTTTTCCAGCTCCCTGCCCCATGTCCACCCACTCCCTTCAGCCCTCAGCGGGAGCTGGAACCTGACCCTAAGCATGACATATCCTTACCTGACCTATACCTCCTTAGGGCTGGTGAGAGTCAATATTGTTCCTCACTAGGGTTGGCCAAATGCTCCACAAACCCACAGCAAAGTGGCCATGCCCACTGGTGGATTGGTGGGTGAAACAGGGCAGATGCCTACAGCCTGGGAATCCATAGCTTCTTCCATTATACCTTTGTTCCCCAGGAGCCATTTGCCCATCCCAGCCACCTATCACATGCTCCTGGGGATTCAGCCCTCTAATTCTGGCTGCCTCTGGGAATCTTCTCCCTGACTCCTGCTTGCTGAACCTAGCTGTAGTCCCAACAGCAGAGGTTCCTGAGACCTCCAAGCAGGATCTCTTCCCAGGCTCTGCCTTCCGATGCCCTCCTCTCTGCCACCTCACCTTGGGTCCATGTAGGTTGGTGCTGGACTCTCTGGGTGAGCAGACATGTCACCAATCCCTGTTCTTCCACTGCCCCTGGTCAGGGCCCCCCTTGGGATTCCCTGTCTTGCTGTGATCACCTGGTGTTAAAGTGGCATGGAGCTGAGAAGTTTGAGGGGGACCTTGGGGTGCTACAGCTGCGGCTGAGCCCTGAAGGCTGTGTCTGGCAATGGGATAGGGCACTAGGGCAGTTGTCCTGCCCTTACCTGATGGCTGCCGGTCCAGGCTTGCAGGACTGAGAGTTGGCACTGTGCACATCTAGGAAAGAGGCAAAGCTAGCAGCTGAGCATGGCCTGGTCCAGGTTCGAGACTGTGTCTGTATGTCTGCCCTCTCCCAAGAGAGTGGCTTCTGCCCCGATAGATCATGAGGACCAAGAAAATGCTCAAATGGACACTTGGGGCACAATATTTATCTCTCAAGGCAGTCTGACACCTGGGGCTCTGTGACATAGTGGTTGCTCCCTGGCGTTGCCTGCATTCAAATCATGGCTTTCCTATCTCCTAGCTGTGTGACCTTGGGCATGTTACCTGACCTTTCTGGGCCTCAGTTTTCTCATCAGTGAAATAGGGATGATAATCATGTCTGTCTCATAAGTACTCTGAGAAAAGCAAATGAGTTCATAGATGCCAAGTACTTTGAGGAATGCCTGGGCCATAATATGTGCTCATGTGTTCCTGTTACTACGGGGCCCTGTGGCTGTCTGTCCACCTGTATTCACCCACTCAGTACGGATTTATTGGGGACTTTCGTACTCAACCTTCCCAGGGTTGAGCCACCTTCTCTGTGTCTCTGTAAACCGGGCAGACTGATGCTCACAGCGTGCTCAACAATTACTGAGCACTCACTAAGAGGCCCTCTTGTTTGGTCCCAGACCTCTTTATACAAGTTGTATTTGTACAAGAAGAGGGCAGCAGGCCCTGGCCTCTGAAACCAGCGTCTCTGAGCAGGTCTAGGCAAAGGTCCCTGGGCCAGGGACTTGGTTCTTGGTTCTTTGAGCTGCCACTACTGGGGAAGAATCACTAAGTTCAATGATGAAGGAAATCCGTGAAAACGAACGGAAAAGAAAAGTGGTTGTTTCCACAAGAAACAGCCTTTCCTTTGGAAAAACAGTAAAGGATTTTGTTGAAAATCATTGTCAAACTAAGTGCGGTCAGCCCTCTGTGTTGTGAGTTTCACATCTATGGATTCAACCAACTTCAGATTGAAAAGATCTGGGGCCGGGTAAAGTGGCTCATGCCTGTAATCCCAGCACGTTGGGAGGCTGAAGTGGGTGGACTGCTTCAGCCCACGAGTTTGAGATCAGCCTGGGTAATATAGTGAAACATTGTCTCCACCAAAAATACAAAAATTAGCCAGGCATGGTGGTACACGCCTGTAGTCCCAGCTAGTCGGAAGGCTGATGTTGGAGGATCCCTTGAGCCCCAGACGTTAAGGCTGCTGTTAGCTGTGATCATTCCACTGCAGTCCAGCCTGGGTAACAGAGAAAAACCCTTTCTGAAAAAGAAAAGAGGAGAGGAGAGGAAAGAAGAGGAAGATAGGAGAGGAGAGGAGAGGAGAGAAAAGATATTTGGGAAAAAATTTAAAAGAATGAGTGCATCCGTACTGAACATGTACAGGCTTTTTTTCTGTCATCATTCCCTAAATAATACAGTATAACAACTATTTACATACCACTTACATTGTATGAGGCATTATCCTAATCTAGAGATGTTTTAAAGGGTACAGAAGGTTGTGCATAGGTTACATGCAAATGCTACACCATTTTATATCAGGGACTTGAATATGCATGGATTTTGGTATATGAGAGAGGTTCAGGAACCAATGCCCCATAGATACCTAGGGACGACTATATAGGTAAGACAACTGTAAAAGACTAGATTAGAGCAGGCGCTGTGGCTCACACCTGTCATCCCAGCACTTTGGGAGGTCGAGGCTGGCGGATCATGTGAGGTCAGGAGTTCAGTACCATCCTGGCAAACATGGTGAAACCCTGTCTCTACTAAAAATACAAAAATTAGCCGGGCGTGGTGGTGCATGCCTGTAGTCCCAGCTACTCGGGAGGCTTAGGCAGGAGAATTGCTTGAACCCAGAAGGTGGAGGTTGCAGTGAGCTGAGATCGCACCACTGCACTCCAGGCTGGCTGGTAGAGCGAGACTCTGCCTCAAAAAAAAAAAAAAAAAAAAAAGAAAGAAAAAATCCAGAAGATTCTTCAGATAATTTTATAAGCTACTTTGAGGCTTGGTTTCACTTTAAGGAACAGTGGCTTCTTGCTATGAGGGTGCATAAGCAGGAGGGGGCGACGTGGAGGAGCCAAGAACCGCAGACAATCACGGGAGACCAGAAGTCTTTCCTGTGCCAGCCGTCAGCAAAGCCAGTCAAGCTGCGCCACCGTGGGGACAGCGGTAGGAGCCCAGACTGGATTGAAGGCCATGGGTTCTGCCATGCAGGACCCAGTGGGCCATGGGAAAGTGTTTGGACTTTATTCTAAGGCAAATGGAGAGCCACTAGAAGGTTTTAGCCGGGGAGAAATGTGATCTAACTTTATTTTTAAAAGATCCCTCCAATGCCTCTGCAGACAGCAAAAGATGCAGGCTGCATGGACAGGGCTCTAGCAGAGTCCTCCCCATTAGTGGCAGCTCCAAGAACACAGTCTTAGGTGACCTTTCGTTGGATCTGCTCAGAAACAGGGGTTTCAAATGCCAGAACCTGCTTTCCCCTTCTTCCTGTGTTGACTTGTGGGCCTGGATTTAGAAGTCAGGCTCAAGCTCCAGGCGTGAATTGCACACTATTGAAGTTAGTGAGGGAAAGGGGCCCAGGTGTGCTGAGGGAAGCAGGAAAGCAGTCAGTGGGGGCCTCCCCCACAGGACTCCCTGTTTGGCCGGACTGCAGTAGGATTCAGGAGGCAGATGGTATCTTGAGGTTGTAGCTCTTTGCAGACGCCGGCTTTGCCACTCTTCCCTAGCCATCTTCTCCAAACCAGAAGGGCTCTAGCACAGTTTGGAGCTAAACTATTTATGCCAACATCTGCACACCTAGCCTTTGCCCCAAAGATGATTCAGGCTTCGTTTGGAACCATTTAGGGACAAGTGGGACCTTTCCACTCCTCAAATCACCTGAGAAAGTGGCCCAGGTCCAGCTGCTCTTCCTCTCCCTGAACCTCAGAGCAGAGCTGGCTGGGGGAGGTGTGGGGCAGGAAAAGGGGACGGGGACAAAGCAGGAGCAAAGCGCCTCCTAGCTGGTCCTCAGAGCAAAACCGAGAAGTAACAACTTCCGGTTGTTACAAATGCCGACTCTTCCATCATTCACTCATTAGTTTGTCCCCACACGTTCATTGGACCAGCCCAGGACCAGCACCATGTGCGGTGAGGGCTCCAGCTGTGAGTGGGCCTGGTGCCCACTCTGGAGGAGCTTGACGGCCAGTGGCAGGGGTCAGAAAAAAGAACAAGATTCCAAGAAGTAGAAAGCCCAAGGACACAGGATGTGGTGGAGGGCGGAAGTGTAGGAGAAGCAGTAGACAGGGGCCATGGGAAGTGACCACTGCCCCACCCCAGCAGCCCAAGCAGCCTGGCAGGCTGACCTTGGCCTGTCACCAGGGGCATGAGAGAACATGCCTCCCCTGGGCAGCTCACCTTTCTCTCTTGGAGCCGATGTCTACTGCAGCCACGCCTTCAAGCCGGGAGCCCGGGGCTCCGGATCCCACATTGCCATCACTCAACTGTGCACTTGACCTGTTATGAGAAGAGGAGCATTTGCTGACTCTGGTTGCGTTTTGATCTCAGCTAACCCAGATGCCATGGCAGTGGGCCTCAGGACCAGAAGCACAGGCCTTTGGCTGCTATTCTGTGTTGCTCTGACCAGAGCTGAGCCAAGCCCAAGTTGACTCTAACAGGAAGTATTTATGTGTTTTTCCCAAACTGAT